CACCTTCCCCACTCTCTCTCTCAGCTCCATCTTTCCTATGTGAGGTCAAACACTTGGCTCCCTTTCTCTTCTCCAACAGTTCTCCCTGCTCACCCCTGCATCATCCATCTTTCACCTCTTCATTAGCATAGAAAGCTGGTGTGGTATTTTTTCCCCATCTTAAAAAAAAAAAGTCTTTGATCCCATTTTCCTTTCATGTACTCATCAATGCTCCAGCCATTGGTGGCTACTTTCTGTAGGTACCATACTTTACTAGCAATTCTTCACTTGGTTTCCTCCCTAACTTCATTCCAGTTTCTGATCAAATGTTACCTCTTTAGGGATGCCAGCAGCATATGCCACCCCCCGCCCCTGCAAAAGAAGTCATTCCTTCTCCCTTTTCCTCATTGGCATTTTCAGTACTTGAAATTAAAGGCTTAGGTGCTATCCCCTCTACTGAAATGTAGCTTCTTGAAAACAGGAGTCTTTTTCTTCTCTATCCAAAGCCCCTACCCTAGTACTAGGCACGTTGCAGTCACTTGATAAACTGGTTAAATTCCAGTAAAAGCTATTTGAAAGGGGAGAGAGGTTCAAAGGTAGACTTCTCTTTTTTAATATATGTGAAATACTAGAGCATATTTTCACGCTGAGGGGGATAATCCTGTAGAAAAGAATTTAATGCAGGAGGGAACAATGAAAAATAGGAATATGTAGATATATATATTTAAAAGCATATTGGCCTAAGTTTAAGAAATGGAAAAGAATGAGAGATCTGGGATGTACCTCCATTAGTCCTATGCAACTCTCTCCTGGGAGTCTTTCTCTGAATATCATATAGGAATGACTCGTGCCTGAGAAGACCCCACACTGACGTTCTGTGGTATACTCAATTCTATGATTCATCAAGGCTCTTCCATAATAATAATAAAAAAAAGGTTTGTTTTTTTTGCATAGCTAAAACATTAAAGCCCAGAGAGATTTAAAAAAGAATAGCTTGCACATTTTTTTCAAGTACTGTAAACTAAGAATGACATTTTCATTAGTGCCTCTTTCTCTTTCAGGAACTATGTGAAAAACAACATTTGTTTTATGAGTCATGACCAAGAGGAATTGGCGCCAAAAAAACTCCAAAAAAGAAAACATCAAGAGCAGCTCTTGGAGTGTAAAAGCTGTGTGGTGGGGGACAACCAAGGCAATCTGGTCCAGAGACCTACTGGCCTCAAAACCTTATAGATGTTGATACAGTATAAGAACGTTTAGTACGGGGTCTTCATACCAATACATGTTGACCAATGCCATGTTTTGTCTTTAGTGTCATGAAGTTAATTTATTAAAACAACCTTTAATCTCCATTCACAATAGGTGTATGAGGTAGAAGGCCCCAAGACTCTATTATTCTGAGCAGGATACCAGGTAAAAAAAAATGCTGGCTGCTCCTACACTTGGCACCTTTTCACAGAGTAGCTTTCAGACTGAACTAGGGATAGGATCACCTTTGCCTTCAGTTGTATATGTATAGAGGCCAGTTGCGGTTTTATCATTCAGATACATAAGTGTCTAAACAAGCTTGTGTTTTTTTGCCTACTAAGACTGCTTGCACTGGGTCTTGTGTAAAAGAATCAGAACACAATGTGGACAATTGCACATACGTTCTACATTAGGAGAGGGTGCCGGCTAGGCTTTTAGTGATAAATCCTAATTACAGTTTAACAGGTTACAAACATTATGCATCTTATTTGATGAATTGTGAACTACAATGTAAAGTACCTTTTGTGAACTTCATATTAGCATTATAAAATAATGCGAAAAATAATTCTTTAATGGCTGAGAAAAATAAGCATGTTCTCATCCACTTAAAAAAGATGAATAGAAAGGACAATATGAAATTCCTGGGACCATATTTATTTAGAAGTAGCTGTTAGTAAAACATTAGGAGTCAGGCCATTAGATTACTTGTCCCAATCTCTAAGCAATTACATTTGACTTTTCAAGCCAAGCTTATAAAATTCTCCTTGTAAGGCATTCATAACTTAATAGCGATCCGGTTTCCTGTAATTATTTGCACTCCTCAGGATTATCACTACCTCAGGTTATGGCATACAGGCTATAATCACTGCTGACTTTCAGATGATGACAGCCCTAATACATGACATTCAGACATCAGGACAACTGCTGTTCTTCTCTATGCTGAAACAGAGATCGCCAACTGCACCAGAAACTTGGGTTTCCACCCACACAATGAGTTGCTCTCTTGTGCATTTCTCCAGTTGACTTTTAAAACTTGGTGAAGCATTTTACCTATAGAATTTAGATAGGATAGAAAATCTACAGTAACGAATCTCAAACCACTAAGTAGTAATCCATTACATTACTAATATTATAAGTTATGGAAGACACCAAAAAAACTTAATGAGCAACCTAACTTGAGAATGAATACAAAAATATGATTAGTCTGAAGAAAAGAGAATCCTGAGTCAAAAACAAGGACCCTTTTTATTTAGCCTGGAATTTTCCTCCTGGGACGTAACGAACTGTCCCAAGCTTGATATAAGGGTATATGATACTACAATTCCTTGTAACAAAGCGGAAGACTAACTGTTGTAAGAAATAGTAAAACTAGCCCGGCTGGCATTGCTCAACAGTTGAGCATCAACCTATGAACCAGGAGGTCACGGTTCAATTCCCAGTGTGGGGCATGTAGGAGGCAGCCAATCAATGATTCTCTCATCACTGATGTTTCTCTCTCCTTCCCTCTTTCTTTTTATCTGAAATCAATAAAAATATATTTTTAAAAAAGAGTATTAAAAAATAGTAAAACTATATTATCAGAGACTCAGGAGAATGTCTAACAGTCCTGGTTCTGAAATGTACTCTCTCGATTAAAACTGGCAGGGGAAGTTATGAGGAAAGGAGATTTGAGATAAATGACATTCAGAAGACACTACTTGCACTGGGTCTTTTGTAACATTTCATATGCAAGTTAGAGCATGCATTGGTGTGGTTTTTTCCCCCCATTTATTTGTTTTGAAGAAGAGAAAGTGTGTTCTGTAGAGGATGAATTTAAGAAATTTATTATGAATCTTCAGTGGAATTATATGGAGATTTTAAAAAATCAAGATAGGTAATTGATATAAATTTTTGTGCTTTGACAAGCATCACAGAATATAAGATATTTAACAAAATTGTTATGTTTTCTTTGAAATTCAAATGCTATATATACTTTAGCTATCTTGGTTTAGCCATTCTTTGTTAACGGGCAGGAAACTGTTTATCAACCTATTTATTATGTTTATTACTAGTGATTTCAACTTCAGTATCTTAAAATGCTTTGTAATATTTTTCTTTTCTATTGAGTCTATAACTAAACAACTCTATCTTCAATCTAATTTTTACCCAATACACCGCCAATCAGAGCTTTTTGATTTTCAAAAATAAAAGGGGAAATACTTCGAATTTGTATGTATATAGTCACAGTTTTTATTTATAAAAACATTTACAGCACTTGTGAAAAGCCAGCAAAAGACACCAACTGGCTCCTTTCTCACCAGCTTTGCTAAGTTCCGTGGGTTGTCCAGGCCAGTCAGGCAGGTGCCGCTCCTGCAGCCTGAAACCAGCCCTGGCCAGATTGTCTTTCCTCCTCTTTTACAAGAAAGCATTTTGATGAGCTGCTTACTGATCTACTAGTTTTCAAGTCACCCGAATACTGAAAATGTCATGGCACCTGGTTACGTAACCTGGCCATATAATCATGTTTTCCCCCCTTTTCCGTATTCCTTTTTTGGGAACACAGCAAACCGGACGTTACTTATTAATTACTGTTAATTAAAAATAAGTGGAAAATCTCAAATTTCAAAAGTCTTCACAGAACCTGTAACCTTTTCATTGAATTTTATTCTCTATTTTATGAGGTTAGCTATCCTATTGGAGCTTTAAATGAAGCAAATAAACACAAATGTAAAAGTAAGGACAAGGGAAGTCTGAAAATCACAGTTACGTTTTTCACAAGAAAGAAAATACAAAAGTTAGCATATGCATTATTCAGTGCAGTGCTTAAACTAAGTTTTCAAGATTTATAATACGGTAAGGAAAATGTACTAGAATATAGAGGTTAAGATATTGCAATTTTTCTCAAAGGTTTCAAACATTTTTGAAATTCAGGTTTTAGAGGAAGACTGTGTTGGAATATTGTCTCTATGGAGAAGCTGATTTGATTCTGGACTAGGTCTTATTTCTAGGTAAAATCATTGTTTATACTAAACTCCTAAACACACAGGGCAGAGCACAATGGCAGCCTGATCCTGCATTACCATTCCAAGGCTTGTGGCTGAGCCAGACAGCCACCGTTTCACAAAGGCATATTTATTACTTTAAGAGTAGCCATCCTATATACTCAGTAGTCACTCTTTAGCTCCTTTACATAAGACACAGCAAGGGAAAGACGGATCTTGCAAAACGGCTTTCAAGTTCAAGTTGAACTAGATTATGATACCGTGGCACAGAGGCAACTAGTGGAACTTCTTATTAAAACAGCACAATATATCACCATGTGACAAGACAGTATAGCCTTGAGCACCAACCTAAGATTATTACTTTCCTGCAACTAGAGTTGAGTCTTTCCAGAATACAAAGGTACATATGAGGCACAACCCATCATACCTTCTTTCTTATAACCATCTTGTAAGTAAGAAGTTTCTCTTTTTAAAACTACACTTTTGTAACTTTTAAAAGATATCTAACATTTTCTAGCATATTAAATTAGCAACATAAAACGTTATGCTTAATCTATAAAGTTCTACTTTGGTTCCCTAGAATTTGTATACATGTTTTTATTTCTAATCTGAAAAAAAAATCCCAATTTGATATTTGGTAACAGAGAATTAAAAGATTATATATATTCACAAAACATACTTCAAAAAGAAACCAACACACTTTAGCAAAAGTCTAAGCTTGCATAGATAAAAAAAAATTATGAATTCAATTTTTATTCATAGAAAATGGGAATAAAAGTTATAGAATGGATATGAAGAGAGACCTTTTCCAAACTTTTATTTGTGCATATTCAATTGAAAAAGATAACTTTTACAGGTTCTTTGGTGCCCATATTCAGCATACAAAAATGTAAAAGACTATTCACAAATAAAACACATTAGCTCAAACTGGAAAAAAATAACAACAAAACAATTTAAGGTAGTGCACACTGTGACAGCTCTGCTTATGGGGACATGAGAATTACTGCGAAAATAAATAGAATGTCCTTCTGTAAAAGCAGCAATGTCATGTCTTGTAAACTTCCTTTTTATATTACAGCAAAGTTTGAAATAAAATCCAAAGGGACTGGAACTTTTTACACTGTAGCCGTGAATGAATAAAAGAGTCTATTTTCTCAATTACTGTTGGTCCAGTTTCCTTTTGTTTTGAGTCCAATGTGCAGCAGGTTTTAAAAGGTGCTCAGTTAGGGATTCTAACCAATGAAGTGATGAATTATAAAATCTCTTTCCTGCTTTCGAACACAAACGGGTAAATCTGTTCCACGGCAGTAGCGACAGCCTTTACATTGGGCCCTGAAACACACACAATGGAGGAAGGGGTGAGAAGAGGCACGGGAAGCACTGGGAAAAGCTCAGTTCTCACAATTAAAAATACCCAAGCAGTTCGGGGGTTACTGTTTTAAATAATCTACAAACATAATTATACACAGAGTCATAATGAAAACTAAGAGAATAAAATTTTCCCTGGACAATTAAAGGAAATCTGAAACAAAAATGATGTTACTCATCTCGTTTTAGGACACCAGTGTGAAAAGAGCGTAGATAAACTACACACAAACTATCCCAGAGAAGAGAAAGTGCTATGATAGGACTATTAACGGGAGAAAGGACAAACGGGCCCAGAAAACCATTATCCTTTTGGAGACTGCAGTCTGGCTTTTTGTGAGGCTACAACTGAAGCTTGCGGGAGCCGGAAGCCCAGCAGAGTAAAGCAAAGCTGCTTCCCAGGTGCTGGGACGCGGAGGCTGTTAAAAGCCACCTGGTCTACAATGCCCACAGGTTTCCTGCTCCTTGGCAGCAACATGTTTACTACCAATCTGGCCATCTCACCCTCGCAGCTTACTGAGGCAATAGAACACAAAACAAGCACAAGGGAATGAGGTGACACTGGGAATAACTTTTAAAAAATGTAATCTTTCATTTAAATAGCTCAAAAGAAACATGAAAGTGGGTAATAAAAAATATTTTCATAACATTTTAAATAAAAATAGTTTCACTAACTATACTTACCATCTTTGAAGGATCCTAAAAAACATACATATGGACCTGCTGTATACTCTGACAATCGAATACGTCTTACACTGGTCCACTCCCTTCCTGACTCAGTTTAACCCTACACATAGTACAGTGCTTTGCCCATGGGAACACATACTGAGCATGTGTTCACTGAATTGTTATAGAATTTCATAAAATATTAGAGATGTAAATATATAACGCATCCTAATTAACCAGGTCAGTTGTCTTCAGTTTGTTATTGTGTTGTTTAAATATCTATTAACTCGATAAAAGACAGATTTTACATATGTATCATTTTATTCTATACTTAGTAGAGACTTATCTGTAGACTTTGGGGCCCCTCAGAAGCCTGGGTTCCAAAGTACAGAAATGACAGTTGAAAGAAGGGAACAAATAGATGGGTTCCTCACCACTCCACTTTTAATTCAGGCACAGCCCTGCCAATAAGCTTGAAAAGTTTCAGAAGTAGGTGTGAAAACCCATGGGATAATGAGTCAAAACTAAAACTTATTTATTGAGTGTTTAAAGGTGTTAATAATTTTTATTCTCCTTTAAGGATTGAGGGAAGAAAAAGAAAAACTCAAGGACACTAAAGGAATTTCCCTTAACACAAATGTGCCAGAAGCTGGGTCTGATTCCCAAGTGATGTCTCTGTACAACGTATAACCACGGCACCCGTACAAATCATCCTGCGGAGTCAATGCTACCCTCTGACCCCTTCCAAATAGCTGGCTCAAAAGATATGTAACAAATAGGTACAGATTATATTTACATCTTTGCTTTTGTAAAACCTTTATAAAGTTCATAAAACTGAGTTCTCTTAAGTATTTTAAATGCAAGATATAAGTTTAAAAGTAATATTATGAAAAAATATACTAGAATATTTTTAATAGCTCAAAACTGGAAACTATCCAAATGCCTGTGGACAGTATACTTATACACTGGACACTGCACAGCAAGGAGAATGAATGATCTATCACTACACGGAGGATGAATCCCACTGCGATAACAATGAGTGAAAGAAGACAGAAGCAAAGTACTCTGATTTTAAAACAGTATATGAAAGCAGGTAAAACTAACCTATCATGTTAAAGTCAGGAGACTGGTTCCCCTTTAAGGGCAAAAGTGACTAAAGGTGACAAATTAGACATTATTTCTATTTTGGTATAGGCACCTCTTATTTCATTCAATACAGAATTGACAAGTTTGGTTTCAATATCATAAAATACCTGTTACTGTGATGCTTCCTGTTGAAAAAATCTGTAATGTAGCTCGTAGAGATTTTATCCGATAGCACACAGCAGGATGAAGTTCAGGTTCATAACTACACAAAGAAAGCCACAATGTAAGTATTTATAGCCTGACAAGTAATTTCAAATTTGGTAAGTTACTTTGATTTCTCAAAGACCTACCTGGCATGAGGTCTATTGTTCTTGGTGAATTCTGGCAAACGGATTTCAAATGGCATGTTACACACTGCTAAAACATTAACAACCTTAAAATCTGTAAATATTACCTTTAGGAGAGAAATAAAACTCAGTGAATTATTTTGAAACAAAAAAATCTGCTCATCAGAGAAATCCTTAATAAATAAGTTTCAATTTTTAAAAAGCAAATAAAACAAATATCTTAAGCATGGACCCCATATTTTAAGTTATCAGTGATTCATTAAAGAAAAACAACTCAAAAACTTTAATAAGAAAATAAAACCTGAGATATTTGCATGATTGAATTTCATGTTTAATTTAGTTTGGTTTTTTTATATTTGAAATGGGATATTCAGTCTACTGGGATAGGAGAGCAAATAGAAAAAAAATGAAAACACAGTCCTCTTCTCAAGAGTTTAAATGGAAAAGTTGTTACTTTAAAACTCAATGAATAGTTGAGTATACACTAAACTCCAAAGATCAGACTTTTTCTTATATGCAGTAAGGTAAAATGATCTTTCTGTGAGCTTAGATGTTTGCTTTCTTTAGGGGGACAGAGTGAGGGATAAAGGGATAAAATTGTGCTTTTTAATTTATTGGAATTTCTCTCAACATTTCTAATTTTATGCTAAGATAAGAAGCTCTAAGGCTAAAAATAATGTCCTCTCAAATTAATAACTTCAGCAACTCCTTGACTGGTTTTATCTTATCTTTTCAAATGTTCCTAGTAAAACCACAATTCTGGATCGATACCCATCCTCCAACTCAGTACCTGCACAAGATAGCTGCAGAAAGCCAGAAAACTGTGCAAAGTGCCCCACCATTTTTTGTCTCTATACCACCTCTCTTCAAGCACCAGAACTCCCACACCCACCAGCTCGTCAGTGCCTTCCTCTCACCTTCTACCTCAGAGGAGACTGAAGTCATCAGAGGGAAACTCAACTTCCCATCACTTCCCATCTAAATTCAAAAGAGCCTAGGCTCATCTCTTTAGGGACTCGTCTTTATCTTTCATTTACTCATTATCTGCAAGTGACTTAGCAAGTGCATAATATGTATTAATTTTATTCAAATTTATGCCTCTACAAAATTATATTTGATGAGGTTACCCAGCCAGCGATGATCACTGTATAAGTGTGAGAGCCTGCCAACTAGTGTGTACATGTCAACAGGGTCCTGCAGCTCTCAGCTCATCCTGATATATATATGTATACTACTCTTGGGATGATCAGAAATATGTGATGTTTTTGGTGGTTGTTTGTTTTGGGGGGAGGGAGAGGTGGGGCATTGTTAAAGGTGAAAAAAACTTAAAGAGTTAAAAAGGTAGTTAAGAAGTGGCAGACGGAGGCCATTGTGGAGGGCGAGCATTTGTAGCATTTTATCTTGTCTACACATGGGGGACTGAGGAGTTTGGGAAATCCAGAAGGAAGAACCCATCCACCTATGAAAACGACAAATGAGCAATTCATATGGAGGATGGCTCCCTGTCTCTGAAAGACCCTCCTCTGGGAGATGAGTCTACATTGTATAGTGTCTTGAAGACACAATAAACTTCTTATGGGCTGCAAAAAAAAAAAAAAAAAATGTAGTTAACTTGTAAGAAAACAAGCTGGTGTCTCTCTATAAGAAGAATCTGAAAAAAAGTCAGGATCCTTTAAAAACATCCACGTGGACAAATTTTGCTACTAACTTTTTATACTGAAGAACAGTATAAAAACCTTAGGAAAAGGTCAATCATGAGGGTAGTTTCTGTCGTGATTTCTTTAGTCTACTAAATTCAAAGTTTTAACTTTACAATAATAAATCCTTGAATATTTGCAGTTTGGATACACTTTGAAAATGTTACCTGAAAACCTAGTTTCTGCAGACTGCGGGCTAGACGTCTGGCACCAAATTTAGCTTCTTCTTCACTATGGTTTTAGGGGAAAAAAAAGATTATTATATAGGAAATCAATTTTATACTGAGGAACATGACAAATTGTACATATGATTTTGTTTCTAAGTTTACAAATGTTCCTTTCTTGAGGGGGAAGTTAAAAAATTAAAAACCCAAATAAAATTTACCTTGTTGCTCCAGTGCAAATAATTTTTCCTGAGGACCAAATTGTAGCTGTAATTCTAGGTTTTCTAAGTTTCATTAATACTTTCTGGAAAAAAAAAGTACATAATGAGGATTAATTTTCATTTACAGAGTGGAACAAAAGTAGGCTTACAGTTGTGAGTATGCAAAAACAGTTATTCTTAATAATTATTATTAATTATTGTATAATTTTTCATCCAAACAACTGTAAACATTCTTTTGCCCCACCCTGTATGCTTCTGCTCTATGTGGCTATTTTAATGTTTAAATACTATTCTAAGCTTTCCCACAATCAAAATAACTGTTCCCTGCATCATCTACCCATTCTGAAATCAAGTACCATACTGAACAAAAGAATGTATTAATCCAAAAGGACACTTAATTAAAAAATACATGGACTATATAAATCTCTCACTTAAAACCAATGAGCTACCAAGTATGTAAACATTTCTTCTCTCATTCCACTCCAGTCACATGACTGCAATTTATAATTTGCATGGATCCTCAAATCCCCACATCTCATGAGCTGTGCAGAAGCTGTTATTTTCAACTGGAATATTTTTTCTTCATATTTTCATTTCATTCAAGTTTCTCACCAGATGTCACCTCCATAGAGGGGCCTTCCCTGACTCTTCCACCAAAACACCCATCCCTTTATTGCCCTGTAAATGCTAACCTTGCTTTATTCAGCCTCATGGTATCCATCACTACTTGACATTGTCTTACAGTTAAAATGCCTATTATATATTTTAGTTCTATATGCAAATTTTGAATGCAGGGGAAAAGTTGGAGCTAGAGATAGAATTTTAAATATGGAAGGCATTTAAAGCTATGGGTTTGAATAAAATTATTTACATTGTGAGTATAAATAGGACAAGAGCTAAGCTCCAAGATAATATGTGAATTAAAATTTCATTGCAACTTTTCATTTATGGAAATATTTACCATATTCCCATTATATGTAAGAGATAAATGTTTACTGAATAATGTAGCACATAAATGAATCAGATATTTCTCCTTAAAACTCTTGTTACAGTTTGAGGTCTTCCTTTTCTCTGTTACATGCCATATTATCAAACTAGAAAGCTATTAAATCTGGGAAGACAAAAATTAACAAAGACACAAAATAAAATCTGAGTAAATAATTATAAATTTTCAAAGACAAGTGGCTGGGAAACACTAGACTGAGTTTATTCTATGTTTGTCTTTCACCACCAGCTTGTCCATCAACTCAGCCTTTTCAGTTAACGTTCCTAGGAAAAATGACTTCCCTGCCATATGGTATATTAAAAGTCTCAAAGTAGCATTAGGCAATTTCTTCTCTAAACTTTTTAGCAAACCTATTTACTCCTTTTTTTTTAAAAAAAATGAAGATGGCATTATTGAACTTGAAAATCTTTAATTGTGGGTCACTGAAAATTTTAATTCAACTTCACTTAGTTTCTAGCACTAAAAGCTAATAATAATTTTCCTAAGTATACTGGCATCTAATTTTTAGAGCTAAATAAAGCCTTCAAATACATTCTTAATTTTCATAAAAAATATATGATATATAATCTCATCAATCATTGGTTTATAAAAGCCAAATGAACACCCACTGTATTGTATAATATTAATCTCAAAACACTAAGGTTAAAAAAGCAAGTTAACAGCTTTTATTTTCAGTATTATAGGTTTTACAAAAATTAAAATTTAGAATGTACAGGGTAGGATATGAACCATATTTTCAGCAATTTGCTACTGAAAGAATACCAACTATCCTGGCTAATTAAAGAGGGCTATGACAACATGCTACAAAATTTACAATCTGACTTTCTCTATCCTAGGACACCATTCAAACATAATTATCTATATATACAAAAGTCCAAGCGATTGGCTGGTTGACGTGCACTGATTACCAGGGGGCAGACACTCAATACAGAAGCAGAAACCACAGGCATGGAAACATGGGACAGACTGATGAATCTCAGAGGGAAGGGGGAGGGAGAAGGGTGGGAAGAGATTAACGAAAGATCTTATATGCATACGGATTCGTGTACTGGTGGGGTCCCTTGGCCTGGCCTGTGGGGATCAAGCTGAAACCGGCTCTCCGACATCCCCCGAGGGGTCCCGGATTATGAGAGGGCAGAGGCCAGGCAGAGGGACCTCACCAATGCACAAATTGTGCACCGGGCCTCTAGTACTTAAATAAATATACATACATAAAAAGTACAAAAGTCGCCTTCTTCAGTCAAAAGAAATTGAGAGAACAGTATAAAATGTCTAGTAGCCAATGAGTTCTTTGGTAAGACTTGGAGATAAGTATCTCCAAAAGCTGCTACTTCATGAGAAAAGGTGCCACTTCTACAGGGCTCACTATTGTATCCAGCACAACTAGCACATGGTAAGGTGCTCATAAACTATCTATAGCAGTGGTCGCCAATCTTTTGGAGCTCACGGACCACCAGTGGTCCACGGACCACGGGTTGGCGACCGCTGCTCTATAGAATAAATACATTTTAGTACATCATTCCTAGCACTATACAATTAGCATACATACCAAAATTCAGATACTTACTCCAACATCACGCTTATAAATTACATTTGCTCCCTCCAAAGCAATCTTCCTTAAGTTCAAATGGCATCTTGTTCTAAAAACACAGACTACATTTGTAATTAGAATGTCCAATGCAACATCACTGTCTGCATCCATTGGGGTAGTTTAAAAACTTAGCTTCCCACCACGAAGATCACATCCTGAGAAACAAAAAAAATAAAGTAATTAAACTTTAATATTTTCTGAATTTTTCACAAATAAACTTGAAAACTAAAATGCAAAAAACAATCTATACTATTTATTTTTAAATGTTACTCAAGTCAAATGTCCCTTATTTTCCCCACTAAAAATGCCATTTTTAAAAGATAACATTAAAATCTAACTTTCATTCCTTAAATTTAATTAGTAACTTTTACACGCCAGGCGGCTGCCAAACTTATCTCCTGCTACTTGCCTATACCACCACTACGTTCCAGGTGTATCACAGTTATGGCAATTCTCCAAACACACGGAGTTCAAGGGCTGCACTTTGTGGTTCCAATGTCTAATCATTAATGGCACTATAACCCATCTCACATTTGCTAGGGGTATAAAAAGTCAGATCTATTTTTCACTTATTTTGAGTAAATGACTTAAGTTTAAAGAAGCAGAAACATTATTTATAACATTTATAAACAAATGTTTCTCATTTACCAGTCATTCATTCATTATTCACCTACTGAACACCTATACATTGAGGATACTGGAGGAAAAAAGTGTATGAGGCCAAGTCTTTTGTCCTCAAGGAGCTCACAGACATGTGCGTGCATGCGTGCGTGTGTGTGTGTGTGTGTGTGTGTGTGTGTGTGTGTGTAGGAAGGAGCTCTAACAAGTAGTTAGCACAACACCATTTTCACTGAGATCACAATCTTCCAAAATACGTATCTTTTTAAAACTGACAGGAAGCATTTCCATAAACAAACAAAATGAGCCCTAGTTTGTACTATGCATAAAACTCATATTCTAGCTAAAAAAATTTTCTTTGAATGGGTTTCCACATTTTAAATAAATAAGTAATGATAATTCATCTTACCTAATTTACAAAGAGAAAATCAGAAAATAGCAACAGATATAAATTATTATGTGACTAAACAATGAAGATGCCAAGTGTCCAAATAAAGAAAATTCAATTTTCTTTTTCTGCCTTCCACTATACTAGAACCCAGGAACAAATCAGACCAAGACTTCGGCACCTCCACAGGATCAGACTGCACCCAATTCTGTGTACCAATTGTTCCTCAACTGCATTGTATTTTCTCACTCTTAGGTTTCTTACAACCTGCATATTTTCTCGTTTTTCTGTTCTTTGTGTATGTTCAAGCAACCTCAAATCATTTTTATGTATAAGGTGTGGGGCAGGGGTGGCAGTGGCCCTTATTAATAGATATATAGGTAGATTAATAAGCAGAGGACAGAGGCAGTTTTCAATACTGATCTTAAGCAGCAGGCTCAATGTCTGAATAATCAATTACTAGTTATGACAACGTGCACAAGTTATGCAGTCTCTCTGTGCCTTGGTTTTCTCAGATGTGACATGTAATAATGGATGGTGCCTATGAGATAGTATTGGGGGATTATATAAAATGCATGAAAAGTATTTAGTACATGTATCTTGGAATTATAACACAAAATCAAAAGTGATTATGGATAAAATAAGTGTTCAAATCAACTGGCAGAACAGAGGTTTCTTAGCATCACTTCCCATGATGACATTTAACTGTGAGGAAGAGGTTCCAAGTTGCTCACCCCAACATCCACTCCGTCCTTCCTTCACAAGGAACAGGACCCAGCTGTCTAGCCACATACATTGTGGCAGAAATAAAATACTACACATTTCAGGCTCCCAGGCAACAGGTACAGCCAAAAAGTTAACAATTATTGTATTCAGAGAGTTGGCATCTGAGTGATTGTAAAACTTTTTTCTTCTCTTGTTTTGTAGACTAGATTTTTCTTTTTAAAAACAACAAATATATATTAGACTTACTATAAGAAAAATAAAGTTAATTCCATTTTTATTTAAATATAGTTACCAGTTATTTTTCCACTGCCCAAGGTCTGATATGAAGACATGGTTTAATCAGGTGTTTTTTCCTGTTTCTGAAGTAAATACCTAGTATGAGTTCAAATATATCCTTCAAATAAGAAGCAAAGTTCAAAATTGCAGCTGTCCTAACTTCAGGAAATATTCTATTTCTAGCTTTCATTAAAATGCACTGTAGAGTTGAAGCAACTTCCTCTTCGATCCATGATTTTTCAGACAAGAAAGAATACACTGCTCTATAGGTCCTCTGACTTTCTAGTGGTATTTAAAAACATTCCTTCAGCACCTGAAATCTTAAAACAGCACCTGGAAAACACTGCCACCTCCTGGCTTTTAAGCAAATTGCACCTAAGACTACTACATTTTAAATTCCACACCAGAAAAGACACTTAAACTGAAAGGCCACAATAAACACCGTAATAATATTAACTAAAAGCAAAACAAACAAATAACCCTAAAGAAACCTTAGTATATACAAAAAAGTAGATCCAGCTACTTTAAGTGTTTTCAAGTTGCATATGAATACTGAGGGAGGGGCCTAAAAGGTTTAACCACGAAGTTGCCATCCATGATTTAAGAAATGGCAGAAGGGAAGGCTGGATATAGACTAATTTGCAAACACGACATGAACGCACTTGTTCCCCTAGGGATAATTTTTTTCTAAAAGTAAGACATGGCATTTAAACCAACTCTTCTTTGTAAAAGCTCCCAAAATAGCAGATTAGAAAACAGTTTGTATGGTGATTCCAACCAATTACTATACTTGACAGTTTCCCAACACATGCCTGTGACCAAGATGGAAAAAAATAAAACATTTTGCCTTTGAGAAAGAGGGTGTTCTTTTACACCTGATAACAGTACAGCACATACCTTACTTTTCTGGAAATTGGTAATAATATCATTGTACCCCCCAGGGTGCTTCTAAAGACTCAATTTAATTATCTATGTCAAGCACATAGTACACACACCATGTTTAATAAATGGCAGCTATTACTGTTTGATAGATTCACATAGTTGAATATTGTAACCAAATAGTATTTAATGAATTGGTACAAAACTTGAGAACAATCACATTACCAGACAGAGAAAACTGAGGTCCTTAATAGGTCAGGCAGGAGTCAGCGATAGCCAAAGGGCTAGCGCTTGTTCTATAAAAAAGGTTTTATTGGAACAGTCATACTCATGTTGTTACATAATGACTGTGGCATCGTTTAGCAGTTCTGACAAAGACCAAATGACCCACAAGTCCAAAATAGTTACAATCCGGTCTTTTAAGAAGATAAGTGTAAGAGAGAGAGAGAGAGAGAGAGAGAGAGAGAGAGAGAGACACACGGAAGGGAGGGAGGGAGGGAGAGAGAGAGGGAGGGATAGGAGAAGGAAAGAAAAGAAAGGGGTAGGGTAGGGGGTAGGGCTAGATAATTAACCAACAGTTAGGAAGGGTACAGAATGAGTCTTCTATTAGGTGGGAGATGAGACTAAATGGTTTCTAAAATCCCATCTAATTCTAAAATTCCCAATTCTAACAGCTTAGATGAAGACGCACTTAGACAAAATTTAGGAATTATATTTTAATTCTGGAGCTACTGCGTTAGTTTAGTTGAATTAATATCCCAATTCTGAACTTCCCACTTACCTTCAACATGCATTTGTGTTCAAAGGGGCAGTAAAGGAAGAAAGTTAGATGCACTAAGGCAGCAGGTTCTCAACCCGTGGGTCGCAACCCCTTTGGGGGTTGAACGACCCTTTCACAGGGGTCGCCTAAGACCATCCCGCATATCAGATATTTACATTACGATTCATAACAGTAGCAAAATTACAGTTATGAAGTAGCAACAAAAATAATTTTATGGTTGGGGATCACAACATGAGGAACTGTATTTAAAGGGCCAGAAGGTTGAGAACCACTGCCAGCAAACAGTGAACAAGCTTGCAAAACCTTTCACTTGTTTGGCAGGGTAACATTCTGTCATGAGGACATGTTTTCATGCATGACCCAAGAGCTTATACTTCCGGAACCTGTCCTCGGGGTTGGCATTTTTATTTTCTAACCACATGAAAAAAAGTCATTAATAATATGCTTGGTCACAAAAACCCTTGTATCTCCCAAGGAAAGGAGGATATATTATATCAACACCTATATATATATATAAAAGGCTAATATGCAAAATTTCCCCGTGGGAGTTTGATTGGGAGACCAGGAGTTCGATCACTCACTATGACGTGCGCTTGACCACCAGGGGGCGGCTCGAATGAAGGAAGGCCCTTGCCAGTAGCCTGAAGGCCCCGATCCGCCCTGATCACCGGCCAGGCCTAGGGACCCTACCCGTGCATAAATTTCGTGCACCGCGCCTCTAGTATAATATAAAACATTTAACAAATGCTTACATATTTGTTAAATATGTGACAATCAGATAAGGGTCCATTGCTCAGGCTAAGTCTAGGTCTAGATTGGAGGTGAAAATTTGGAAACCCCAGTACAGAAGGTAATTAAAACCACGATGGATAAAATAAGTATTTGATATACAAAATCTTCATCACATTACATTAAACAGAAAGTTAAACTATGTTCACTACATGTCTGCAACTACTGTATCTCTGACTCACTCTAAATACCAATTCTGAAGACCGGTAAGCATGTGACTAACTTGCATCAAAATAAAGTGTTACACTTTTTAAAATTTCATATTAAGAAAACTACAAAAAATGTTAATGGAAGTTAATTAATAATAACAACTCTGATGGTCACCAGCAACTATCTGTTTTTTAAAATAGTAAAGAGTAGTGTATTGTATGCTTCAGTCGATAAAAATACTTATAATGTTAAAAGGGGGTGAAGAAAATGTAAATGATACTGATTTTCTGAATGGATGTTAAGGAAAGAGAAGTCAGTGATTTACATTCTCATGAAGAAGTTCCAATTAAAGGAGAATGAAAATGTGGTTAAGTTAAACTTAATACTCAGTTAATTTAAACCTATGTTCATATATATTGATAATGTTTAAACAGCAGCCTTCTTAAAGATTTCAGGCCAACCAGCATGGCTCAGTAGAGCATCAACCTTTGAACCAGGAGGTAATGGTTCGATTCCCAGTCAGGGCACATGCCTGGGTTGCGGGCTAGATCCCTGGTGGGGGACATGCAGGCG